GGAATAAACTCCTCCATAATTAACACCAAATCTGCCCAAAATACACACTTCAAAATTTTCACTTCAATTCTTTCAAATCTCATCCAAACATTCATCAAATAACAACTACACCAACACAACTTCTCATGGATAGGTTCTAATCATTATTCAACACCAAATCCATCAACAATTCTACATATAACACATATATATGCATAAAGAAAGTTCTCTACACAACATAACTTAAATCATACTTAGGGTAGGATTTACTTACCTTTGATATGAGCAAATTCAACCCTTTAAGAATCTCTTTTGATCAAACTCTCTTCCTCTTAAATCTTATGAGCATGAACCATCAAAATCAACACTTTAAAAACTAAAATTCACTTCTTAGTGCAAGGATCTTACCTATAGAAGCTTAAGATTGAAAATCCACTCAAAAACATCCAAAACCTATGAATTTCCTTTGAAGAAGAATTGAAGAATTTGAGAGAATATGGAGGTGAAAGTGGCGTGCAAATGGGTAAGAGTGGCTAGGATTTCACTCTTCAATTTGATATAACATAAAAATTATATATTAGTTTCCCATTTTGCCCTTGTACTTTCTTTAAAATTTCATCTATGTCCCTTAGTCAATTACCATAATGCTCTCATTTTTATTGCATTCTCCATGAAATTCTATCTCTTTTCACTCCCCACAATTTCAACCAATTTTGAGTGAAAAGACCATTTAACTCTTACTACAAGTTTAAGGCATTTTCTCAAAATAACTTTAGCAAAAATCAACTAAAGGTATAAGAGCATAAATTAAATTACGTACCTCCATGTGGGCGTTACATTAATTATATTCCGTAATGTAGAATGAGTGAAAAATTATATCATTCTCAAATACATATTTGTGAAATGAGGTACGTTTCTACTAACGTGTCACACTAATATGCTATGACATTTCTCCATGTATCATAGGGTTGTTAGTCACATATCATAGCTGTTATATTTTGATGTTGTGAACGTCCAAGGTTTAAATTAATGGTAATAATCTTTTTAAATGGCATTAATATATGTTGATGAAATTAGGTTGTTAAATAATCCTCCATAAATGGCCTTAATATGTGTTAATAACTGATATCGCTTAAGCGATCAAGGTTAATTTGCTTCTTTTCTCCCGAATCTTGTGATGTTGTGAACGTCCCAAGTCAACATTAACATTACTTAATATGAGGTTGTCAAATAATCCATATAAAAAATAAGATTGCTTAAACGATGCATCTGTCATTTAAGCGATCTAGTATATACAAGCCTTGATAGCTTAAGCGATAGCCCACATCGCTTAAGAGACCAAGGCTAATTTGTGTCTAAATAATCCTCAAGTACATGATTGCTTAAGCGATGCAGCGTATATAAGCCTTGGTCGCTTAAGTGATAGCCCACATCGCTTAAGCGACCAAGGCTAATTTGTGTATAAATAATCCTCAAATACACGATCGCCTAAATGAACCAATATAGATAAGTCTTGATCGCTTAAGCAATAACTCACATCGCTTAAGCGACCAAGGCTAATTTGTGTCTAAATAATCCTTAAGTACACGATTGCTTAAGTGATCCAGCTCTTGCTTAAGCGATAGCCCACATCGCTTAAGCGACTAAGGCTAATTTGTGTCAAAATAATCCTCAAGTACACAATCGCTTAAGCAATCCAGCATAGATAAGCATTGATCGCTTAAGCGATAGCCCACATCATTTAAGCGACCAAAGCTAATTTGTGTCAGTAATCCTCAAGTACACGATCGCTTAAGTGATGCATATATAAGCCTTGATCACTTAAGTGATAGCTCACATCGGTTAAGCGACTAAGGCTAATTTGTGTCTAAATAATCCTTAAGTACATGATCGCCTAAGCGATGTCAACTCTCGCTTAAGCAATCCAACATATATAAACCTTGATCGCTTAAGCAATAGCCCACATCGCTTAAGTGACCAAGGTTAAATTGTGTCTAAATAATCCTCAAGTACACGATCGTTTAAGCGATACAACTCCCTTTTAAGCGATCCAGCATATATAGGCCTTAATTGCTTAAGTGATAGCCCACATCGCTTAAGCGACCAATGCCAAGTTGTGTCTATATAATCCTTAAGTACATGATCACATAAGTGATGTCAACTCTCGCTTAAGCAATCCAATATAGATAAGCCTTGATCTCTTAAGCAATATCTTTTATCGCTTAAGCGACCAGGGTTAATTTGATAATCTCATAAAGTAATCATCAAAACCATTAAAATTGTTTTCTGATTCACTAATAAAAATTGTTTTCTGATTCACTAATAAGTTTTTAACAAATTAAGAGAAAAACTGATAAAACAACAGCCTTAAATTTTGCCAACCAAGATCCTCACTCACCAAACAATCAGTTAAGAGAAAAAGTGAGGAAATTATATTGATTAACAAGAAGCAAATACAATAAAGAAATCTAGAAAATGATAGTTCCAGTAGTTCTAGCAATTCCCAAAATAACAACATACCAAAACATGCATTTTGTCTCAACTAAATACACTTTCAATCCCTACTCTAAAGATTCAATGGATTTTGCCAACCCTTTCTAACTAAATACACTTTCTGCTGCTAAAAAAACACAGCCAAATCTATTTCATTTTGTATCTCCACTAGCTTTGGATGCCTTCCTTTCTTCCTCCCTTCGTTGCTTCAAAGTTTTTGAACCATTAATAGACAAATCGCCAGACCTGCAGAAAAACAATGTCAAATTCCATATCATAATAGACAAAAAAAGACATGAATCATGAGGTTTGGAAGGAGTATGCAACTAACTCTTGTTTGCTTGAAAAGTTCTTGTTTCTTGCTGGCATTACATGCAATAATCTAACTTGGAAAATTGAATTATGTACTTCTACAATGGCCCTGCACAATCAACCAAAAATGTTAACAAATGACTAAAATAAAGAGGAAGATAATGTACTCTTGTTTGCTTGACAGATTCTTGTTTCTTGCTGGCATAATGTACAAGAGAGATGATGAAGGGCAAGCCCTGCAAAGCTGGCTATATGTGGACAACCTTGTAATATGCAGGGCAAGCCCCCATGCCCCCTATTCCACTCTTTTTGCCAACAAAAGTCATCCAACCTGCCATAAACAACCTCTTTAAGGCCTCCATTTGCTTCTCTGGTCCTTTGGAAACCCAAAACACCCATTCCTCTGATGCTCTCTAACTACTCAACAAAATGCAACAATGACCTTAACAACAAACACCAACCAAATATCCCTAAATTGGTACCAACAACCAATAATTTCATAAAATATATAGGTTATTACATGTTCTTCTTCTTCTTCCACCTCCTCCCTGGAATTTGCGCTGGCGTCCTCTTTCTTCATTTTCAATTTCGAATCTTGTCGTCCCTTCTTTTGCTGGCGGGATGTCTTATGTCAGCGCCGTCTCCTCTACCGATGGGGTATGCTCTGCTGGTAGAGCAACTTCAGTCATCAAAAGTTACTGCACCGCAACCTCTTCTTCTCCATTTTTGGTAGACCCAATGGTGCCTGCAATTTGGGGAGTGAATGGGTTTTTTTGGTTTCTTTGAGGATCTCAGCCATTGTAACTTAACCGGGAATGGAAAGGAATGACAAAAATGCAAAGAGCAAAGAAATTGAGAAATGATAGAAAATTGGAAGAAAAAACGAGAGAGAGGAAGGTGTTTGAATTGTGTTTTGCGAAAGAGAAGCTGAGAGGAATGTGTTTTGCCTTTCAAATTTTAAACCATCTTCTTTTTATTATCTTTAACCCACAACCGTTTAAATCTTTTCACCCTAACCCTTTTTGCTGCTTTAATTACGCTCAGTGGCAGATCCAAGATTTTTGTCAAAGGGGGCCTCCGCGGCTCCGTCATTGTTTTCTAAACAACTAGTAAAAACTTTAAAAAAATCACCAAACCTTAAGCAAAAAAAATAATACAATATCAAGAACCTGAGAGAAAAGAATGCAATAATGCAATACTTTCCTACTTGAATAAATTCATGAGAAGCAAAATTTTGAGTAAATGTGTTAAGTAAACCTTAAGCAAAACCTTCTTTTAATTTCAATTTTTTTTTTTTTTTGGTTTCCAAAGATTATAATATAAATTTCATGACTTTGACCAGACCTAACATAAGCTAAAGTCAACCAAAACCTAAATCAAATCAACATTGCGTTGACTTTTAATATGAATTAATTAAAAAAAAAAATTCTTGATATATACATAGATAGTAACTCAAATTTATTTATTTATTTTGATTAGCAGAATGGTGACGTTTGAAATGTAAGAAAATGGTGGGTGAAGGGTAAAGAATAACGTCTTTTAAAATATAGTTAAAGTTTTAATTTGGGAAAGCAAATTCATTCTCAGACACAAAACACAAATAAACTCATATGATTCATATCTTTTCCCCTCAAATTATAATTAAAAACCTCAAAAAGAAAAAAAAATGATTCAACCCTAAAATAAACTAAATTGAAATGAGTAATACATATACCTAAAACTGATAAAACAAAAAACAAAGCTAATTGTGACACCTTAAGTAGTGAAAGCTTCAACAATTTCGGTTTTCAAAAGTTTTAAGATCGAATAACATGAGAAAGAGAATGAGAAAATGAGAGAGTAAACAATTTTTGGGATTAAATCATAAAAAAACATGTGGAGTCGGAAGAAGAGTGGAAATAATTTTAAACTTTTAATATGATGTGGGTTTGGAGTATATATATTAATAACAAGTTTTTTGTGGGCCTAGATATATGTATAATAATTCTCATTTTTTTAAAATCCAAAGGTGGACCTAGGTATATATATTAATAACAATTTTGTGGGACTATATATTAATAATTTTTTTTTAAAACTTGAGAGTAGGCCTAGGCCTTCCCTCAAAGGGGTTGGATCCGCCTTTGATTACGCTTAAGTGTGCTATGTCAGATTTTTAAACCAAAAAAAAAAAAAAAAAAAGAAAAAATCAAAAACCTTTTCAAGGTTATATTCTCAATTCCAAACTTGGGAAGACATATCAGTTAAATTTCCTCCAAAACTACACGCACAACTTATTAGCATGACTTACTCTTATTTCATATCTCATGCTTAATATTTTACATACTCATAACCCTAATTTCCTTCTTCCCTGAAAACCTAAAATACCTATTTAGGTTTCCTTTTCAATCTCCCTTTTTAATTATGCATTCATTTGGGGCTTATTCATGCTCCAAGCACTAAGCTTATCAATGGTTACAGTCTCATTCCCATTGTTGAAAACAAACAAGTGGGCGTTATTGAAGATTGCAAGAGTTGGATAAACCCTGGAAGTGATGCACGTTTTCCCTCCAGCTCCAAAACTTTCCACAACTGAATGATCAATCAAACTCCTGAGAGACAGCTCCTTATCGGCTAAATCTACGTCTACAAAGCCGGCGAATGATGGCTTGTAAAGACCTATAGGCTTCAAAGATGAACTGTAAATTGAAAAAAGGAAAAGATTAATTAGAAGGTTCAAATAAAGATTAAAAATTATTGTATTCGAAACAAACAAACCTGGTTGCGTCAGAGCACATTAGAACTACATGCTTGTTTGGAGCCTTGAATATTCTAAAGAAGACAGGAGTGTATTCTTCTAGCTTCTCTGAGGCTAATGTCAAGAGCCCGAACGGGCCAACTCCGCCCTTAACGGTCGAACCTTTTTTACCACACAGCTTCTCTGCGTCGACCCAGCTGGGATCAAATGGTTCAGCTTTGTCCAAGCTAGGGAATGAGAAGGTTACTTCAACATCAGCCTGTGAAGAGCAAGAAAAGAAAATCCATCAATCAGATCAGTGAGATCATGAGAAATCAAGTTTAGAATATGATATGGTAATTTAAGAATGATACCTGAGCAGCAGTAATTCCTGTACCAACTTCAACATTCTCTCCTGATTTGAGCACTTTATTGCTGATTTCTGCCTTTTTCCCTCTTAAAGTTTCTAATTCTTGGATTGGCCATTGCAATAATTGTTTTCCATTTGGATCAAGCCACAGAGACCTTGGAATAGTCTAAAATACATATCAACAAAAAAAGAAATAGCAATCAACCATTTAATAGATTTTGTCATATATAAATAAAATATCACTAATTTCAATTGAATGGTTAATGATTTAGTGGAGAAAATTTGCCATGAATTGATACAAACCATGCTTATGTCAACGTGACATTCTATGATTGGATGGTTGTATCAATGATTTAGTGATTTGATAAAAATATAAAAATTTCAACCAGGGTTCATGTAATATTATTACCTGAATTCCAGCCCACCCTTTTCTAATATCATCTTCTTTGCTATCAGACTCATTAGCCCAACCCCATAAAATCCTTCTATTCTTGCTGGCATCAAAGAAAGTCTTGGAAGCATAAAAATTTCCATAGTCATATCTAAGCCCAGCCCATCCATCAACTGACGTATTATCAGGGACATATCTGTCTTTATCGTTAAAGTATGAACCAACTGTATAGTACTCATATCTTGTCTCATCTAGACTAACCTTCAAAACATATTTCACATTTGGGCCACTATATGAAGTATTCAACCCATTTTTACCCGATAGTGAAACAGGGAAAAAATCGGGGCATTCCCACATACCTGTTTTTTCTTTAGAATGGATGGGGTGTTTTGCCTTGGTCCATTTCATGAAATCCCTACTCCTATACAAATATGCTATTCCTCTATGCTTCCTCCTACTACCAACTAACATCCTCCAGTGACCATCGTCCTCCCACCATGCGGTGGTCGGGTCACGAAAGGCGCTTGCATTAACGCCATTTGGAAATACCAATGGGTTGTTATCGGGTTTGATCCATTCACGAAGATATGGGTCGGAAAGGTTTTTAGGTACAGCATAGTTTTGGAGTTGTCTTTCTTTGGAGTCAATTCCTGTGTAGAGAATTATGGGCTTGTTGCCCGGCAGAATGGTGGCGGAGCCGGACCAACAACCCTTTATGTCAAATGGCTTTGAAGGGTAAATTGCAGGCTCAAGGGCTTGCCAATTGACCATATCTCTGGATACAGAATGGGCCCAAACGATGTTGCCCCAAACTGCACCTTTGGGATTGTATTGATAGAATAAATGGTAGATTCCATTGTAATACATTGGTCCTGTTTCAAAGAGAACATGCATAATTAGAACAAATAAAAACAAAAACAAGAAATTGAAGAGACTCACCATTTGGATCTGTTGGTTGATTTGTCAAGAGAATTTCAGCAGCAAGGGACAGGACAAAAAAGGAAAACAAAGAAGTTAGTGAGTTTTGTTTGAAGTCAATGTGTATCAGATTTTGGATTAAAAAAAGTCATGTAAAAATGAAAGGTTTACTTGCTGAGATTAAAGCAAGAAAAAATAAACTCTTCTATTTAATTATCAGTTATATAATATGTGAATGTAGTGAATAAAGAGAGTTTGGATATCTAGAGACAGCAAGCAAGAAAAAGCAAAAAGCTACAAGCATGCGAAGACACTCAAGTATGAAATTGGGTGCACCAATAAATTAGAACAAAATTTCCCCACTCTTGAGGACCACCCAATAAGAATCTGAGGTGCAAAGTGGTCCATAAAATCCCAAATTCATTATCATGGTGGAGAAAAAAAAAAAAGATAATGGGTATCCAAATTGGATCAACGCCACTCATCAATTTCTGTCTTTTCAATTGCAATAAAAATAAGTACAAATCGAAACACTAAATGTGTCAAATAGAGAGATGCAGAGAGGCTAAGCTTTCAGCTCACAAAATGTCCAAGTACCACAAAAAGAAAAAGTAAGTTTAGGTCATTTACTTTGGGTGATGGGTTAGGTCAACTTGTTTAATTTATCTCACGAGATTTTTAATCTTATTTTTCATCCGTCGCGTGTCCTCTTTATTTGCACTTCTTTCTTTTCTTTTTTCGTCAATCCATCTTCGCCATTAATCTAACAACAGAAAGATGTTCATCTAAACACCATCACTATTTTTCTTTTTCCTTTTGCTCTTAAGTCTTATTCTATTAATTCTGTCTGCAAGAACCCCCCTATAACACTGAAAACTTCTGAGTCCTAAGACCAATAAAAGGCACCTAATAATAGTGCTTGAGCGAGAAAAACTTCTTTACAACGGATGTTGATACAATCATCTGATTATGGTGTATTCGTGCTGAGAAGATTTTCTCGGAGCATGGAAGTTTAAAGATTTGAAACATTGTTAGGATATTATTATCTAGGGTTGTGGCCAGACAGGCAACAAGCATTAGGGACGTAATGTTTATAGAAAAATATTATTCTAATAAGTTCTAACTATTATGTTTACTCTTAATCCCACCAACAAAACATTCTTTTCCTTGGGTAAACGTACATTAATTATAAATTAAATTTAATAGTCTGGAATGTTTAGATCCCGTCACTACTGCTGAAATAAGATAAAAAGAATCCTGATCTCAGTGCATTCTTGAAAAGAAACTAACTAACAAATCAATACTTTATCGAGCTCATGTCATCCTTCTATTGTATTAAATTCAAATACTTTATCATATCCTTTACATATATAGGAGGTATCCTTAAGAATATTTCCATGAACACTAAAAAAATTAAAAAACATAGTCAAAATTCTTTTATCAAACAACTATAAAATTTAGTTTTCTTATTGTTTATCCGAAAACTATTCAACTCAATCTTATTTTTTAATATTCACAACAAAATCCGAAGTTTCCAAAATTTATATTACTTTACATGCAACATCACAACCAAATGAAAATGAAAATGAATATTTACATCAGAGAGAAATCATAATGTGTGGCTCGAAAATCCTAAAAATCAATAAAAATTTCATTGATTTTGTAATATTACTATAAATATATATTAGTTTAATGAACATTTATGACCAAAAGATCGTTATCCTAAACGGGTTTAACATTGAAAGCGAAAAATGACAACCCAGCAAAAGGAAAATATAACCATTGAACAAGAACGAAAAAGGAAAGAATAAAAATAACAATCTCCTGGGAAATTCAGAACCTTAAAAACATGAAACCACACAAACGAAACAAAAAAAAAAAAAAAAAGGAATAGTATTTGGTTTCTCTTTAGACGTACCATTGATCCAGTGCTTGGGAGGTTGAAAATGGAATCCAGTCCTGTGAGTTTGTTTGACTGTAACAGCAGCAAGAGATTGAAACTCTGGATAAACCACGTGAGAGGCTTCAATGCCATGGTTGCTTATCAAAAAAAGAAAAGCAACAATCAGAGAAATCACAAGAAAATTTGTCATGGCCATTGAAAGAAAGAAAGAAAGCACGGCGAAGATAAGTGTAAGAGAGAGTGATTTATTTATAGGAGAGAACTGGAGAAAAAACAATGTATAAGATGTTTACAGTTATACAAACTTTTTTTTTTTATCCATAAGAGTAAGTAATTCTTTCAAACACTTAGTGGAATGAGAATAATAATATTTTCAATAATTTTAATTATCTTTAAAATTAAATTAATTAATGCGGTTTTTTTATGTTGGGAAGTTAGCAACTTCTTTGTCGTTGCTTTTATCTAGGGTTATTTTCTTTCGGTCTATATGATTTTTGGTTGGATAAGGATGATTTTTTATGAGTTAATAATAGTTAATTAGCCATTAATTTTGTGGGNTAAGTAATTCTTTCAAACACTTAGTGGAATGAGAATAATAATATTTTCAATAATTTTAATTATCTTTAAAATTAAATTAATTAATGCAGTTTTTTTATGTTAGGAAGTTAGCAACTTCTTTGTCGTTGGTTTTATCTAGGGTTATTTTCTTTCGGTCTATATGATTTTTGGTTGGATAAGGATGATTTTTTATGAGTTAATAATAGTTAATTAGCCATTAATTTTGTGGGGAAAAAACTTTCCTTTGCTAAATTTTTGCGATCTTAGCGATGCTTTTGAGAGATGTGAGGTGAGGTATGTATGAAAAAGAGAATTAATCCCTATTTTAATGCTCGAAGAATATGGAAAAATGAATTGGGATATGGTTTTATTTTCCATACATTAATATTATGAAACAAATTCCTAATTCGGTTTCTTGTTTGATTCATTAATTTAGATTTAGATTTATTTATGTAAAATTAACTGTATAAGTACTTCACTGAAAGTGATTTTTTGCTCATTAGTGAAAAAATTTACGAGTGTTTCTTGCAGGTTCAAAAAAATTCTTACTTTATTCAATTATATTGATATTCATTAAATATGTAATTCTTTTTGTTTCATATTAATTGATAATTAAGAGTTGTTTCATTATATGAACTCTTAAACTAAATGGTTCACAACAAAATTAACATATTAATATTTGGGTCCATCATGGATTTCTTAATTATCCGGGGATAGAGACATAGATGCACCTATTACGAAGGACCAAACATTTTTATTTTATAAGGTAAATTACTGCTTTGAGCGCCTTTTTTTTTTTTTTTTTTTCATCATCTCTGTAGGCCACTAATTTAAATAAATAAATGATAATTCATTTCATCACGAGTGATAGTGATTTGAATTTATGATAATTGTAGATGGTAAAATCTACGGTTGATTTGGAAGGGACGGATCTTGTGAGAAGCGAGCCACTGATAATCCGATGGACCTACAAAGAGAGAGAAAGAATGAACATGAAGGCTCGGAAGACATCAGTAGACATGGGTGTGATGTCTACCATAAGCACTTCGACGCTCAACTCAACATGGTTGAAGGTATTTTAGTGAGGACTAAGAGCGAGAAAGGGTTTACTGTAATAAAGTAGTTAGGTAGGACTATTGTAAAGTGGTCGAAACATAGCTTTACAGAGGCAAAGGGTGGTAAAGTTGTGATAAAAGCTGCTGTTATGGTATTTCAAAATACCAACTTTTAATTGCTTTTGGACTGTTATGTGTTAAAAGCAATTGAATATTGCTTTTTGGAATGTTATGTATTAAAAGCAATTGAATTGTTCCAAGTTATTGCAATTCAAATCATTCTTGGGCAGTTATGGTTTTAAAAGCAATTGATTGACTTCGATTAGAGCATCTTCAAAGGACTCTTTATATGACTCAAACTTTTTATTATAAAGAGTTTATCCATAAAAATAAGAGTCCAACAGACCATTTATCTTTAAAATATAAATTGGAGAGTGAGTTTGACCCTCCACATTTAGAGAGTCAAATTTCACTCTTTATCTTAATTTTAATTAATAAACTACAAGTTCTTATGCATTTTATTTATTAATTCTCTCTCCCATTAAGTCTCTTTCTTAAAAATAAAGAGCATCTTCATTAAATTTAAAGAGACTATTGGATTTGAATAAAAATTGTGTTTTTTATATTTAAAAATGAATGAAGATGCTCTTTATTTATATGAAAGATGCTCTTCAAAATAAAGAGTTCCATTGGAGATGCTCTTACAGCAAGAATGAGTTAAAGGAAAATGGGCAGATTTTCAAGTATAAAAAGGGGTGGTTTTCTCATTTGAAGAATACAATTTTTCACTTGAAAAATCTTTGTTTCCTCTGTGTTTTTTTAACTTTCTAGCTCTCCTTCACCACTATTACTTTTCCTTATATTGTTTTAAATCTCTATTAGAGTGTGCACTCTAAAAGGGGATTCGTCATTGTATCATGGAGGTTAATCAGCTGTTGAGCCTTTTTGCACCACGAAGATTCTTCCAGTAGGGGTGGAATTCTGATCTTAAGGACAGTGCTTTTGCAAGCCTTGACGCTGCTGTCTTGCTGCTATTGTGTTCGTTGTTGTTTCACTGCTTTATTGTTGCTGTCTCCCAACTATTCTTACTGCTGTTTTTCTGCTGTCCTCTTACTGTTTTTCTGCTATTTCACTACTGTTCTTTTGCTGTTTTGCTGCTGTCTCTCTGCTATTTTTTCTGCAGTTCTCTTGCTATTTTCCTACTGTTCTTCACTGTTTCATTACTGTTCTTTCATTGTTTTGCTACTGCTGTTTTACTGCCAATTCTATTATTAAATTCCAACAATCTTAAGATCAGAAATTTTCTAAGATGGACGCTACAATTCTCACTGCCAAATCACTTCCTAACATCTCTAAAATTGAGCCTTTTGCCGGAGCTCATTTCAAGAGATGGCAAGAAAAAATATTCGACTCCTTGGATATGCTTGGTTTTGCAGAGTATCTCTCAACAGGAAAACCAAAACTTGGAGTGGAAAATTTTGACAAAAAACTTGATACATGGAAGAAAGGAAATAAGGTATGTCACCATACTATTCTCAGTACATTATCAAATGAGCTTTATGATATTTATTGCACTTATAAGATTGCACATGAGATATGGGCAATCCTGAAAGGGAAATATGTTGTTGAGTTTGTTGGATCACAAAAATATGCTATAGGAAACTTCCTAGATTTTAAAATGAAAGAAGAAAAAGAGGCATCCATGCAAGTCCATGACTATCATTTATTGATAAATGAAGAAATAATTCTTCCTGAAACTTTAGTGGCTGGTTGTTTAATTGAGAAACTTTCATATTCATGGAGAGATTATAAGAATAGTATGAAACATAAGCGGAAGCAAATGAGCTTAGAAGATGTGATAGTACATATTAGGATTGAGGAGACGAATAAGCTTAGAGATAAAGTCGATAAGGCCAAGGAATTGACATCCAAGGCTAATGTTTTTGAAAACCAAGTGGCTCCTCCTCAACCTAAGAACAACAAATCGCAGAGTTTTAAGAAAAATAGTAAGAAATTGTCTAACAACAAAAACCCCAACGCTTTCAAAAAGAAAGGACACTGTTTTGTGTATGGGAAAACTGGACATTTTGTCAGCCAATGCAGATACAGAAAAATTGGAGACAATAAAAATCCTCCTAAAGCCAATCTAGCTAAGGGAGATGATGTTATTGTTGTTGTGGTTGTCTCACAAGTGAACATGATTTTTGAAAAGAAAGAATGGAAAATTGATTCTGGGGCCACAAAGCATATTTGTGGAGATATAAATTCTTTCTATGAATATATACCAGTGAGGGATGGAGAAGAATGTGTTTACCTTGGTGATTCCCGCTCTACTCCTGTTATGGAAAAGGGGAAGATTCTTCTCAAACTTACTTATTGGAAAACCCTCTCACTGAGTAATGTTTTACATGTTCCAAATGTTCGATATAATCTTATATCTGTTTATGTATTGGGAAAGGCTGGAGTGAAAGTCTCCTTTGAGGGTGACAAAATTGTAATGTCAAAGAATGGGGCTTTTTTTGGGAAGGGGCATTGTTCTGGAGAGTTATTTAAACTCAGTGTACTTAATATTATTATGAATGAAAATGCATCTTCTTCTGCTTATGTTATTGATTCAATAGATTTATGGCATGGTAGATTAGGTCATGTGAAATATGGTTATCTGAAAAAGATGAAAGAACTCGGTTTATTATCAAATGTCAATATTTCAAATATTGATAAATGTGATGTGTGTGTGGAATCTGAATCCACTAAAAAGACTTGTAAACCAGTTCTAGAACGAGAAAATGAGCTTCTTGGTTCAATTCACAGTGATCTTGGAGATTTGAAACAAACCATGACCAGAGGAGGAAAAAAGTTTTTATAACTTTTATTGATGATTACTCTAAATTTACTAGAGTATACTTATTGAGAAGTAAAGATGAAGCAATTAAAATGTTCTTAACATATAAAAAATGAAGTTGAAAATCAACTCAATAAGAAAATTAAAAGGTTAAGAACAGATAGAGGAGGTGAATATGAGTCAAAAGACTTTGAAACTTTTTTGTAGAGATCATGGTATTATACATGAGACAACACCTCCTTATTCTCTACAGTCTAATAGAGTTGCTGAGAGGAAAAACAAAACTTTAAAAGAAATGGTGAATGCTATGTTGATTAGTTCTGGAGCACCTTTTAATTTGTAGGGGGAAGCAATGCTTTCAGCTTGTTACATACGAAACAGAATTCCTTTTAAGAAAACAGGCAAAACACCATATAAACTCTAGAAAGGTCATGTACCTAACCTGAAATACTTTAAAGTGTGGGGTGTTTTGCTAAAGTCCTAATTCCTGAACCTAAAAGGAAAAGGTTAGGACTCAGGACTGTTGATTGTATGTTTGTAGTTTATGCTCAAAACAGTGCTACTTATAGATTCATGGTAATAAAGCAAGAGGTTGGTTTGTATGATGCAAGCACAATCATTGAATCTAAAAAAGCAGATTTTTTTGAAAATGTTTTTCCTAAGAAAATCAATTGTGAAAAGGCTTTACCTCAAAATGAAACTTTTGAGAGTTCTCCTCAAAATGAAACTCTTCGGAATTCTTCTAAAAGTTCAGAGTTAGAAATAAGGAGACGTAAGAGAGTTAGA